TCTCAGAGGAGCATGTCCTACTCCTTCATGGCCTTTACCTTTTTCTCAGTGCCTTACTGTGATACCTTCTCATTCTCCAAAAAATCTTTTTCCTCCTTAGCATCTCGCAGCTTACATTCTCAAGCTGCCTCTTCTCATGCTCCTCACAAAAGCTCATCCTTCTCCTACATGGCCTTTTTTAATACAGTAAGGAATAGCCAAGCCACACTTCCCACCACCTTGCAGGCCCTCTGTTTCTCTAAGGATCTGCCAACCTTGTGGAGGGCCTCTATCACTGCCTCAGGCATCAGCTTGACTTCTCCCCAGTCCAGGGGAGGGGCCCACTCCTTTAGGAATAAAGCCACCTTGGTCCACATACCCACTAGAGGATGCCTAAATTCCTCCTCATCCATCAGAGGTTCCTGCAGTATTCTCCCAGCTATAAGGGCAGCCCGCTGAAGCACCCCTCCATGGAGGCAGCTTATTCTGTTTCATTTTGTTTTTTTGGGTCTGCAGCAAATCCTGCCGATGTCACCAATTGTTTTGTCACTGGGTTTCAGCTTCAGGCCTCGCCACTGCCTCACAGCCCCTCAGTCCTGGGCAGAGCTCTTTATATAGAGTCAATAATAACTTATTGCCCACACGTGTGCAATCCTGTGCCTGTGAGCATCGCACATGCACAGTGAGCAAGCAGACCAGGGTCAGGTGAGGATCCTAGCCATGAAACTTTCATTTTCTCTACAAATGAAGCTCTAGAAATGAAGTGTTAATTAATCAAGAAAACACTTTTTGTAAAGAGCTCTCTGAGTGATGTCTACTGTGTGTTATGTGGGGTGGTCCTTCTGCTCAATGAATCAAGGGCTAATAGGAGGATGGAGAGACTCAACCAAGAGGCATATCAAGCCTAGGGACACAGAATGGCTGGTGGGGCATGGCTTGGAGGGCTGATATGATTACCAACACCTGAGTCTGACAGAGTCCCGCCTCTTGCCTGAAGGGAGGGGTACCTGTTTTTTGCCTTCAGTGGCTGGGGACAAGTTAAAACACAGACCCCAGAACAGTCACGGAATTCATTGCCTGCGCTCCAAAACACACATCGGGGCTAGGCCCAAGGATGAGCCTGCAGAGCCTGATTTCAGACAAAGCACTTCCATTCCCTCTGAAGAGGGTAGAGCATTCTAAGGAAATGGAGGGACTATGTTTCATTAAAAGTCTATTATTGAGTAAATGCACACCTCCTGGACTTTAAAAGATAACCACAAGACTTTGAAGCTATCTGAAGCTTTTGTTGTGTCTCCTCAATCTATGGCCCCAGGCTCTGGGGAAGTGCTTCACACTTCCCAGGGCTGCCCTGGGGGAGGCTGAGAACCTTGCGCATGTGTATCCTGAGGACCCACCTCTTCTGTAGTGTTCTTCCCAGTACCTCTCATTGTCTGCCTGCATGAGGTCAACATGAGTTTGTTCAATGATTAAACCTGTGATTTATGAAAGTGATTAAATGGGGTGGTGGGCTGGTAAGAAAGATGCTTCCCTGAGGTACGCTGACCGGAGTCTACCCCTTATTTGCTTAGTTTGGCCTCAGAGAGAAAAGCTGTAATCCTGTGGCCTCTTGGGAAATGCTAGTTGGGTTACTCATGTTGTATTTTGGCCCTCAGAGAAAACTAAGTATCTTCAGAACAGCTTGGCCCTTTATTCTGAAACTCTTGTGGCAAAGCACTTTCTTCCATCTCTGGAAGTCCCTTTTCAGAGTTCCCATGTGTGACAGTAATGAGTGCTGGAGAAATGATCAGATGGATGGAATTACAGACACAAAAGCCCTGCTGAGAGGCAGAGGAAAAGCCTCTTGCTTTTTATTTTTATAGTGATCGAAGGGAAGCTGGGCTATTCAGTGAATGGGAGATGGAGCTACTGAGACCACTCAGGGGAGATTGACGGGGGTGGGGATCCCATCCACGCTGGAAATGGGTTGAGGAGGTTTTTCTTTGGCACCTCAAAATGCTTTTCAAAGCCAGCACCTTCTCCTTTCATGCCAGCTTGAAATTAGGCCTCCTGTTACACAGAAAGCTCTTCAATTAAAACTCAGGTGTGAAAAGTATGAGGTGCAAAGTGAGTGGGTGCCTTGGACTAAGCCATGCTGCCTGGCTTGGGGTGGGGAGGAGACAGGACTCAGGACTCAAGACTGAATTGGCAGCTTCAGACAGAGGGGGGCAGAGGGGCACCTTCTGAACATGGGGTGCTGTTAGCCGCAGTGGTGGCAGGCCCAGGAAACCAGCCCTGTAGACAGTGTCAACACAGATGCGACTGTCCACATATTCTGGGGGTCTGTTATTCAAGAAGGGGAGAAAACATCCTGAAAAATGGTTTCCTGACACATACTATTTGACATTTGACATGATAATGATACACATTTGGGGTTTTTTCCAGGCAAAAGGGGCCCTTGGGAGTTCTGTTGCCATCCTGAGAGGACACTGTGGCAGAGGCTTGTAGAACTGTGCTTCTGAGCTCTCTGGAACTGCTTGCCATCCTTTCTCTTCTGAAATTCTCTCCTCCGGAAGTTTCAGGGCTGCCGGCTTGCTGCCCACACCTTCAGGTCACTCTCCTCCCTGGTGAGAGAAAGAGCGGCCTCAGTCACCGGGCTCCCTCCAGGTGGGGCATGTCTCCCTCTGTCTTCCTCCCAGAACTTGGCTCAGACATTTTATTCTTGCCTCAAGACTAACAGCTCTCAACCTTTCTAGGGTCAGGGACCCCTTTGGGGATCTGCTGATAGCGACTGAATCTTTTCCCTGAAAATTTTCATATCAGGTTGGGGAGACTGAGGACCATCTGCTTCCCTGTGGTACTTGGTAAAAATGCTGGTTCCTGAGCCTCACTCTAAACCTAACCTGAATTAGAATCTCCAGATGGGGTGCAGGCATCTGCATTTTAACAAGCACGCTAGGTGATGTATGGACACAAATGACTAAGAACTGTAGCCATAGGACATCATGGACCTGGGTCAGTGTCAGGAAACCCTAATCTAAACACTTCACCAGAGCGACAGCCTTGGCCATGACTAATGTCTTAAATATGCAGCTCCAGTCAGATCCTTTCTCCAACACTCCTGCTGCATGGAAATGGTTAATGGACAGTTCTGAGAACTCTTGAAACCCACTATATACAGTTGATGCTTGCTTGTTTACCTTTTTTCTAAATTTGCACATCTGAATTTGCTCCATCTATAATCAGGAATGGTAACTGATTTCTTCTAACCTCTGTCAACTGTCCACATTATCCCATTACATGTGTGTGTACACGTGCGTGTGTGCACGCCCGCCATCTGGTGGTCAAGTCCTGTAGCCACAGGCTATATTGCCCCTAGAAAACTCGGTACCATTTTCAGCAAATCATTTTTTGCCCCAAGTAGGACTTAGAAAGCATACCTTCAGACATTCATTGTTTGACTCTCACTGGAGAGTCATCCTCTTTCGCCTCCTACCCAGTCAGACATGGAGCCCTGCTCATTCTTCTGCTGAGATACCTCTTGAATATCTAGCCTTCTCTACAGCTCTAGTCATCAACCACATTTATCTACAACCTTGCTCCTCATTTTAACAACACAGACTGAATATTTTCTCTCCAGCTCTCTCTCTCTCTGTCTCTCACCTCATTCCCTAATTCTATTCAACTTCCATCTACAGAGATGATCTCAAATGCACAGGGATTTCACAGTTATCCCCCTGCTGAGGAATATACTATAGCTCCCTATGGCTTTGCATTGCCCATCTGTACCTTTCTGCTGGGCATTCAGATCCTGCTGCCCCACATCCACCCCACCAAGTCCGTACTCAGCTCCCTCTTTATTCATGCCAGGCTGGCCTTTCTTCCACCTTTCCTCACCCTGAATGGTTTAAGTTCCCTCCTCTGTACCTTTGCTCCTGCTGGCCCCTGGCCTGGGATGCGGAGCCCTAGACCCTGCTGCCATCTCAGACCCATGCTTCCCCCTGCGCCACAGTTTAAGGCCCTCCTCTCTGGAGTCCTTCTCAGACTGCCACTGCCCAGACAGCCCCATACCTCTCTGGGGGGGGTTGTTTCTTTAGAGCTCCCTCATATTTCCTTGTGGTTCAAATGTCTACTTTCTCCAGGTAGGTTGTAAACACAGCAGACACAGGGACCAACATTTCTGCTTGTTGGTAGGTTTGGGTGCAATAGTAAGTGCTTAGTCAATGGTTTTCTGTCATAGGCTTGTATTTATAAAAAGACCCTCCCACTCCATTATTGGTAATCACTACATATGGTCTGGAAACAATAGAAGGACCTCAGCTGCTCACATCACCACCTCATTGACTGGCTGAGGGCTTAAGTAGAATAATTAACAATAAGACTCTCCTCTTTGTGGAAGCAAAATTGTTTTGTTAGATTATGTGTAAATGATTCATCTGAACTCCTTAGATCCTTTGGATAATTACACACTAAGGAAGGTATTTATTACCTAATCTGGGCCCTCGATTTTCCTCAGGCCATTTCATGCAATAAAACAGAGAACCAGAGAACCAGCTTCTGCTCTCAACAACCCTCTGCAGCCCAAAGGAGACACGCTGGCCGACAGGAGCCCTGGGGCCTGCTCTCGTGACAGCCAGACCTCAGCCCTGCAATGACAGCTCTGCCAGCTATGACACTTCCGCTGTCAGGGCTCTGCTAGTGCCCACCTGCTTTATCACCAAGACTTCTTTAATTAAGTTGATTGCATTGAGCAATGACTGATTTTAGAATCTGTAGTGAAACCTGCTCAGAAATGATTCTTGGGCCATTGAAACTTAAGCTAAAGTGGTTTTGATTGGTAAATGGGTCTTTGTTGAGTTCCTTTTAAGGATCTTTTGGGCAAATATACTGAGTTCTAGATAAAAGGCATGGGGCAGTTCCTTAGGGCCAGCAGATGATTGCTATATTTTAAGCGAGAGAAGGCACTCTGTGTTTTGGGTTGTGGTGCTGGCTTTGCTTACTTCCATCCATGTTGATTATCTAAATTTCTTTTTCTGTTGTAGGACCCCCTGGCCCACCAGGTAAGAGCTCATGGATTTTCCTAGTTCATGGGGAAGACCTGAGTGGCTAGCTTCCCAGGATCCCTCAAAAGGGACTGAGGTGGGAAAAGGGGAGGAGTCTGGAGGCAGCCTGACTAGGACCGTGTCCCCTTCTTCCCTCTACCCTAGTCACAAGCTCTCCTGTGCCTTCCCACCTGAGAACCTGCCATCACCATTCCCCAACTGTCACTGCTTCAGGTGACAGCAAACCTAGGGAAGGAAGGGAAGAAGCAGGAGAAATATGGACAAGGCAGCAATGCCTGCCCGCTCACACCAGCTAAAGGAAATCGTGCTAACTTCAGTGAAGATGTGTTTAAATGTTGCCGTTTCCTGTGTTTTGATGCAGGACCTCCAGGAGTTGGCGGCTTACCAGGGCACAATGGATCAGATGGACAGCCTGGTCCCCAGGGCCCAAAAGGCGAAAAAGGAGCAAATGGAAAAAGAGGGAAAATGGGTATTTTGTCATCTCTTCAACTAATTTCTTTATTGTTTATCTCCATTATTGCCTTTTTGTTGGGCCAAAGCTGGGTGCAGTGGGGATAAAGTGCTGCCTCTCTGCATGCAAGGCTGGTTTAACTCTTGCCCGGAAGCTGCTGTGTTCTGGCATTCCGAGGGCATTCTTTTTGGTCCAACACTGACAAAGATTTATATCCAAATAGAGATGCAGTCTCCCTGGGAAATGATTGCCACCCTTCTCCTTGCTCTGATGCAGACCCACGGGTGGAAGGGAGGGAGCGGGCAGCCCTGGGGAGGGGCACTCCGTGGGCTGCATCGTGGCTGTATGTGCTGATAACCCAAGTCCTTTCAAGAGGCAGCTCCTGCCCTGCCCTCCCAGTGCCTCCTCCTGCCCAACAAGTCTTGTTTTTACAAGCTATGGCTGGCATCAACCAGGGACTTCTGCCCTGCTGTGACAGCACTGCCATCACTCAAGCAAAGGCTTGGAGGCACCAAGGTGTCAGATGTGTCCAGGGAGCAGTGAGAAGCAGGTTGCTCATGCAGGGCCCAGCAGGAGGCTGGGGGACAGGGTTCCAAAGGGCTCTGAGCCCCAGCCCAGGGGTGTCCATGGAGAACCCCTGAAGAAAAACGGCACAGGCTCAAGTGCAGGAAGTAGAGACCCCTTAGGAGGCTCCTAGGATGCCGGGCTCGTCGCCACGAGGGAGGGGGAGGCTCCACCACATCCTCTTGTTTATTTTCAACTTCCTGGCTCTGCTTCCCCATCTCACCTGGACAGGCCCTGGACTGAAAGAACTACTAGAAAATTCTTCTAGACAGCACAGTAACCCCTTCCAGCCTCTCTGCTCTTATTCTTGTAATCAGTTTATGTGAGAACCAGTGGAAGGGGAGACAATTATTGGGCGGCTCCTCCACTTGGCCAAGCCTGCATGCTCGTGTTCTCTGGGGTCGGCCTCTCTGAAAACGGGCACACGCAGTCCGAGTCGGCTCAGTCCTCAGTAGGTTCGCAATTGCAGCTGGAATTACGGAGTAGTAATGGGTCCTTACATGTTGGATAATAATTGTAATTATAAATGAACATCAGCATCAGATAATTATGCTCGTCAGTATGCAGACACTGGGTTTATCCTGGGAGGCCCCCAGAAATGTGATCAGTCCGGACAATACAGCAGCGAGTATTAGGAAGGCCAACTGTGAATGGTGGAGTCTGCCACACTAGCACTGGGTGTGGGGCAGGTAGGAAAGGGGGGGTTTTCAAAAAGGCTTGAGGCAGATCTTGGAAGAAATGTGTTTAGCATGCAGAGCCCACAACCCAGTGAGGGCAAAGAAGAACAAGTCCCCTCAGTTACACAGCAGGTAGCAGGTATTGATCTGGTAGGGACTGTCCTACATCTTGAAAATCCAGAAACAAGAGAGCTAACAAAATCCTTCCTTCATGAACCGTACATTCTAGTCTGGGCACATTGGCAATAAACTAGGTAAATAAGCAGAATATATTGTCGGTCACATGGTGCCAAATGCTAAAGAGAAAAAATTGAGCAAGGAGGATAGGAAGTGTGTGCGGGTTGGGGTTTAACTGTAGATTTGGGGGGCCAGGTCAGGCCCCCTGAGAAGCAAACACCTGGAGGAGGTGAGGGGGGACAACATGGAGTCTAGAGGAGAGAAAAGTTCCGGCAGAGCATGAAGTCCAGAGTCAGAGGAGCAGCAAGGAAGCCAGACAGAGAAGAAGATGGTGGGAGCGGTCAGTTGAGACCAGAGAGGTGACAAGGCCAATGAGATCAGCCCTGGACACTTTAGGAACTGCGGTCTGTGTGCAGAGCAAGATGGGGAAGATCTGCAGCAGAGCAGAGACCTGCCCCTACACATCCGTTAGAGGGTCACCTGGCAGCTGCGCTGAGGGCCGGCAGGAGGGAGGGAAGGAGGGGAGGAGGAGGAGCCCGCAGCAGAGGGGTGAGGAGGAGATGTGGTGGCTGCTGCTCACTGATGGAGGCTGATTTCCTTGATTTCCTGAGATTCATAGGAACTGCAGCAAAGACACAGGCCCTCCTTCGCAGCCGTCTGCCGGTCGGGAGGCCTCCTGGGGTCAGTAACATCAGAACAGAACCTGAAGCCTCCTCTAAGACTGAGGTTAGAATTTGAGTCACCAAGGCCCTCGGCTGGGAATCTGTGCTGCAGGCCAGGAGCAGGGGAGACTAACCATCATTCTATATGTATCAAGTCAAAGGTCGCTTACCTTAGGGAGGAAATATTTTCCTCTACCCTTCAAGGTTTTCTTGCTGGTCTTAGAATCATACTGACAAGAGACAGATTAATAGAACAGAAATCAAATTTAATTTTGCATGTGCAGGAACCCCACATACAGAAGACGTTCAACAACAGAAAAGTAAAATGAGGCATAGGTGCCATCTTGAACTAAGGAGTGGGGTGAGGGTTTCAGAGGGGAGGAGGGCAGTAAGCAGGGCAGATGCCTAGTGATTGCATGTTTGCCCGCACAGATGGGTCACTCAAATAAAATCTATCTCTGGTGTAAACATTCTGGTAAAGATCCCCCATTTAGGTTTTTCTAGATAATTAAGGGAGGGGTCAAAGTTCCTCTTGAGCTCTCAGCGTCTTGATGCCTTCAACTGTAAACAATCCACGCGCCAAGGAGGTGCATCCCAGGGATGTCTGCTCTGCGCCCCTTCACGCTCTGACCTGGGCTCTGTGGAGAGGTTGCTGGAAGCATCGCTCAGCCCCAGGCCAACTCAGATTCTGGCCTGGACCATCAGACTCCAGAGCAAGGGCTGTGCTGTCCCTGGTCACCCTGCTGAAGCCCCAGGGCTGTGCTTGCCCTCCACCGCCCTCCTCCCCAGGGCAGCACGCAGTGTTCCCGCAGGGAGCAGCGTAAGAGACCAGAGCTGGCAGGGCTGCAGAGGGGAATTGTTTTTATTCTGAGAGTAGTGAGAAACCACTGAGGAGTTTCAGATGGAGAGAGTGATGTGATCAGATCTTCCCTTCTCAAATCCACTGTGGCTGCTGCACAGAGAGCACGGTGGAAGGAGCAGGTGGGCAGCAAGAGTGGAGGCCGGAGAGTTCAGAAGCTGCTCAGCGTGCAGGTGGAAGGGACTGCAGGCAGGGGTATGGAAAGGAAGATGGAGCTGAGTGATAGTTAGGGGTCAAATGAGCAGCACCTGGTAGAGGCTGGATAACGAGGGCCGCAGGGAGGGAGGCACCAAGACCGACGCGAGGACTCCGTCCTGCCTGCTTGCTCTTCCTGAGCTCGGGAGCCCTGCCCTGACTCCGGTTCAGGGAGAGTCAGGCCGTAACTCGGGTTGTGCTGAGTTTAAGATGCCTTGAAACATCTGGGAGGAGATGTCACCTGCAGTCAGAAGGGACTAGGAGCTAAAGGAATACTTCAAGGAGTCACCCAAGGAGATGGTCCACTTAGGGAAGGAGCTAACAGGAGAGGGAGCTGGGGGGAGCCTTGGGAAGCCACGCCACCTGGTGACCAAGGAGAAAGGGATGAGCTGGCAGAGGAGGCCAGGGTCTGAGAGGACCGAGTGGCAGGAGGAACACCAGGAGAGGGTGGGAGCGTCCATCAGCAAATATTTACTGAGCAGGTTACAAGCACTAGTGGGGAAACAACAGATGCAGCCCCTGTTCTGGAACTTTCCTTTTTTGGTGGAAGTTAGACATTAATAGCCAACAGTCATATAGATTCATAAGAACAGGGTGTTAGGAGATAAGAGTACAGAGGGGGAGGGCCAGGTAGCGGGGAGTAACGTCTGAGGTCAAGCTTGAAGGATGAGAGCCCGGCAGAGGGCGGCCCAGGTAGAGTGCACACCCTTGCACAGGCCCTGCAGGGCAGCTCAGGGAGGCAGGCGTGCAGGGAGGGGAGGCTGGGGGCAGGAGCCAGGCCGTTCCCAGCCTTCATATCAACAGTCTGCGTCGCCCTGTCAGTTCCCCAGAAGGCACTGCAGGGTCTCACACAGGAAGTGACCTGCTGGGCCAGGGCCATTGACAGTGAAGAAGGAAGGGCCATTATTTCAGCCGAGAGTTCAGGATCAGTGTGTTTGGCCAGGCAGAGGTAGGAGAGGGAAGGAGTAGGCATGCATTCCAGAAAGAGGTGCTTTTTCCAAAAATAGGCAAGAGAGACTGTGCTGACTGAGGTAGGACCCGGCTGGACTGTGCCCTCTAGCAGAGGTCCTCTGAACAATAGTAGTGAATAGCCAGTATGCATCGTTAGGTGTGCCACTAGGTACTTCACTTATTTAGTCTCCAACAACAACCCTAAGGAGATGGATATTTTTGTTAGCCATATTTTTTGCAGCTGAAGAAGGTTTATCTTTCTGTTTCTCAAACAGGCCGAGACCACCCGTCCCTGTCTCAGGGCCTTTGCGCTGCTCTGCCCACTGCCTAGAATTCCCGCTCCCTGCCCTTCCTGTGGCTGTTCCTTCCCATGGTGCAGGCCTCAGCTCATGTGTCACTTCCTCATCCAGGGTGTCCCTGGCTTCTGTGTCTAGCCCCTGTAAATCCGGGGAAAGGAAATCCTGGGGTAAAATACCTCTAAAAACTGAAATCAGTCAAAGGGAGAAATAAAATTTAAAACCCATTTATTGCTTATAAAACTGTAGTCTGGCCCATCTCTCTCTTTCCTACTCCAGCAGAAGCAAAACCGGCCCTCCTCCTCACCTCTCAGGTACAGATGAGCCCTCTGTTGCCCAGGTAATTACCCATTGATATGAGATGAACTTCTCTCCACCCCTGAGGAATGATGCAAATGCACTAAAGCCCATACCTCTTTCAACCTCTGAACACCTATTGATATGCAGATCTACTAAAGCCAGGCAAGGTATTCCCGACATGTTACAATTTTACCCACACCAACTCACCAACTTAGTCACATTCCTGCTTTCTTTCAAAGCACATAATGCCTCACTGGAATTCTCTCCCTGTGTTTGCTTGTTGATGTGTGCATGGTCTGACTCCCTGGGAAGAATGTAAGTCCATGAGAAATGGGCC